TAATTTGGGGCATCCAGCAGGTTTTTTTGCTATAAAGGGCTACATCAGAAGGACTCTTTAATAAGTACCCTGTGATTGGCTTTTGGAGTTGTCCTCACAGAGCAGTTCTGAAATGCATTGTGGCGATGCTGATCTATGAGCCCTGAATTCCTGCTTTTCACTCATTTAATTAATTAGAGAAAAACAGAGCCAGAGGATAAGTGACTCTAAGGTCTCATTCTTTCTTTTCACATTGTAGTACTTACAAACAACTTGAACGGGGAGAAGGTGACCTTGCTTGTAATTGTAACATTCCTTATCTTTTAATATGAGGAAAAATCTTTTGTCCTTTACATTCACATGCTCTGAAGTTATGGATAGGGAGTTCTTTAGATTTGGATTCTTCTGTTAGGAAGGCTGTGTCCATCTTCTGTTGCAGAGGTGGTCATAAGTTTGTGTGCCATTTCAGTAATAACACCATTCTGAGAGCACTTAGTGTTGCACACTTTGTGACACTGCTTATGTACTCTGTGGGTCTGAAAACATCTGTGGTGTGGTTATTAAAAGGGATAGTAATGGCCACTAAACCGAAAACTACTGCAAAAAGAGATCATTTTTGCCCTTTTATTTTTCAAATACTAAATTGAAATGCATTGATCCATGTAATAGCCATTTCTCTGGTGTGAGCAGCCACCAGGACTGTTTTTTCTTGTCAGTGAGATGTGAGTCCATAATGCCCTGGCTTTGATCAAGCCTTCCCCGCTTTTGGAGGGCCAGGTGTCTGGAAGAGTCCTTCTTTGAACAAAACACACTCAGATCTTCCCCAAAAAGAGAGAGACCCCTTCCAGAAAAATGCCCACATCCACAGCCCTCCCAGACCAGCTGCTGGGCTTGTCAGCTTTCCTCATCCACTGAGCAAGAGGGAGGCAACAAATAAGGAATTTCTGCCTTAGGGAAGTGTGAAATACAGATTTAAATGTATGGTGCCTAGTGCTGACTGTCCAAGTACATTACACAGTGTGTGTGAGAATGGGTAAGGAGTGCACTGGAAGATTCCTATGTCCCATATATTTAACCCCTGCCAGAGGGTGTAGTTGGAATCACTGCAGTGAGCAGAGATGGCACCCCCAAGCCATCAAAAGCTTTTGAAACACACATCCTGGCAAAAAGCAGGATGGTCCTGGTTTCTTTGATCAGTTTGCTACCAAAATATGTTCCACTTCTAAAATGTGCCCAGAATCACTATGATACTTTGGTACCATCATTTCATCACAAGTATTTGAGATGTTTGTTTCTAAAATTTGCACTCTAAAATTTGTTGGCTTTTGACAATTTTATTTTATTTTGTTTTTTACTGCTGTGTTTCAACCTCATTGCCTTCCAAGTCGTGATTATTTTGTAAATGATTCATACTTTATAGAGAAGGTCCATAGGTAACATTTCTCATCATATTCATGAATAATTGCAAAATGAAATCTGTTTCTTAACCTTGATGACTGAACCTTAAAAGAAATATGTTAATCAACACCCAGTTGCTACAACATTTATGCTGAAACAATATCTTGTGACTGGAACTCCTTTTAGAGAAGTGTAGTTTATAACCCAATAACTTGAAGCGTTACAGGATGAAAGGAGATCTGGTACTTGTGACAGTGTACTTAAAACACCACCTAGTATAAACCAAGCCTGAATGAGGGTTTAGGTGGCTGTGTCTCTTTACCTGTGAGCAGTTGCTTTTAAAAAGCATTGTATTTCAATCAGATAGTAAAACAATAAAGATCTACATCTGCTTGCGTACATAGGCCATTATGGAAACTGTGCTGGAAAAGTTGCTTGGAGGTTAGCTTGATGATGTCTGCTTCCTTCTTTGATTTTGAGAGTTTTTTCAGGTGTAGATGCTCAAGTTATGTAGAGATAAAAATGCTGTTAGAAGGACTGCAGTCAGGCTGTTGAAATTATATATACACTGGATAGCTAGGAAATATGATTTGCATGGGCAGCTACTTGAAATGTTTTGCCAGTGCTTCTTAGGCACCTATGGAAAAAAAAAAATAAGCTGACAGGAAAACAAAAGTCTGGCATTGCTCACTCTAATAGTTGAAAGTCTGGGGTTGGAGCCAAAGGTCTGAAATAGAAACAGGCAACATAACAGCCTTTTTGGTGAGTAATATAAAGCCTCTGTTAGAGTTCCTAACTTAGTCCTAAATATAATAACAGGTGAAATAGCAAGCAGTGGAGAGAAACTTGTGAAAGAAGAAGAAAATGCATTTTTCTTGGTAAACTCTATCAGAGAACTGACTCATTGACTAAAACTGGTTCAACCAGGATGCTTGAGCCTTCAGGAATTAGATGCCTTTACAGGCATTTGTTTAAGGGAAACCCACACCTTTAATTTAGGAAAAAAAAAGCCAATCTACTTTAATAGGCCAAGTTGTCTTATCCAGAAAACTTTGATCAAAAACTTTGGTTGTTCTTCAAAGCTGATCGTAACCACTGTGGGTAGAAAGCCAAAGTGAAAAATATGTGAAGGTTTTTCATACCTCCTGCTTTCCTTTTAGTTGGAAATGCCAGAGGAGGGACTTTCTCATTTCCCATGTGGTTGTTTCCCCCATTTCTCATCATATTTGGAGTCCTTGGTGAAAAGGGGGTTGTGGTTCATGATTGTGAAACTTTTTTCTTTTTCAGAGAGCCATGTGACCTAAGCAAAAGGCTGAGTTATGCTAAGAAATAGGCAATACTTTCATTCCTTCTGTGTTTTTCCACCACTAGCACAAGCTTGAGCTTAGCAATGAGAAGTACTGAGGCTGTAGTCTACTACAAATGCCCTCACCTCATCTGTGCTTAATGGAAGTAAATGATGCTTAGCATCTCACAGGACTTGCCTTCATACCCTGGTTTAAAAGAGGAATTAAATAGGTTACAGGAGGTCTTTCTGCTGCCTTTTTCATAAAGGTCGTATTTTAACATTCTCTGTTTCAGAAACAAATCAATTTGGGAAAATTCAAGAGTGGTAACAGAGAGCAAAATAAAACTTTATCAAACCTCCCTGCTGTAAAGTCTAGGAAAGCACTGTTGGTATGTGAAATCAGTCAGTTCAAGGGGGAGTTTAAGTGCTCTCCACTCATCCGAAACTGTCTTGGGAAGGTTTATAAAACCCCAGAAAGGCAGTTGTAAGATTGTAGTGGGTGGGAAGACCCAAGAAACTGGGTGGAGTGGTGAGAAAATTTTAAGAATAGCTGGCAATTAATCTTAGCTCCTGGGACTTAGGGACTTTCCAATGCTGGCAGGTCTCAGTATGTGTGTTGTTATTCAGGCTGCATGCCAAGAATATTTAATGTTGACTGCCGAGTGTGTTGGAGAAAAGTCATTGTGCAGACACTGTCACTCAAAGGAAATGCACCACACCATAATCATTGGTTCAGCAGTCATTTTGCAGAAAATAAATGCTGACATTTGGATACCAAATGGAACAAATAGCAAAAAAGGTGGGTGGGTGGGGAAACCTTTGACTTTTTGTTAGTTAAGACCATTAAATCTGTTAGTATATATTGTCTGTACATGGTTCCTGAAATGCTGTTGCAGTTTTGATAATGACAGTGCTGTGAGAGGGTGTTAGGGCACACAGGGAAAAGCTGATAGTTAAAATAACAATGGCCCTTTGTGGTGAAAAAAACCCCCACGTGTCACTGTCCTGAAAAAAAAGTACAACATAAAGCAGTAAAACCAGAGAAGAATTAATAAAGGGTGACAGAAAAGAAGAAAACTGAGTTTGGATATAATGTAAATATGTGAGTTGCCCTGCAGATTTCAACTGTGCCTGGGCTTCAGACCTTATTTTGTGTAATATGCTACCTGTCAGTTGTGACAGGCTGGGATGTGCCCTTCCTACTGCAACATGTCAGTAAGTGCTTATGGAATGAGCCTATAGAGAGAGCTGGGCTGAGTGGGGAGATTGACTGAGCAAATAAGATATGGGGGTCTCTTGCTGAACTGAGCCAAGCAAAGATGCAGGGCTATGGGGAAGGTGAGAACATGGCCACGCTGCTGCCCCACATATGTCCATGAGAGGAGCTTCCAAGGCACCTCATTAGCACCAGGGCCACCCACGCTGTGCACTGCATGGGGTGCCCCTGACATTAAGCAGCAATGCTGGCACTCCCTGGAACATTGCCTGCACCCGCCACATCCCGCCTGTCACCCTCCAGCCCTGCCAGCGTGCTGAGGCAGCTCCAGGAGAAGGGGAGAAGCAGGAATCAGGCAGAAAGGCAAACACACTGCAGTGAGCAGCAGCTTCTCATTGCTTGCTGCAGGGCCAGTTGGCTGCCTTATCTTTGTATCAGCCAGTCACTGCCTCAGATGTGCAGGACAGGATCACTACCACTTTGTCACAGTCCTTGAGGGAATACATGTAGTGCTCCAGGGCACTTTGAGAATGGCCTCAATTATTAATAACCATTATGATTTTTTTCTGTCAGACTCTGAAGTCTTGCTGATCATCATGGATTATTTATTCCCCATAGTGGCAATTGCACCAGTTTTGTATCATCAGCCCTCTAGCGCCTACCTTTCTGGCTGGCATGTTTTTTCCTATGCAATACCACCAGTTAGACCACAGGTGTAATGATCTGTCTGATCAAGAGGTGTATTCTCTCTTCTCCACATTGTAGATGCAGCCATAGTCTTGTGACTTCAGAAAGTTCAGCCATGTCATAGTTTATTCTGGATGTGTTGGTGGTAAAGGACAGGTAAAGGATGTGTGGGGCTCAACTTTGTTTGTGCCTCAAGGTTGTGTCCTGTGGAGGTCATAGTGGTATTTTTCACACGATCCTTTTGGATGTTCAAGACATCCTTCTTCTCATCCAGCTGGTGGTGTTCCTCTCCTGCTGCTTTTTGGGGATAGCTTGATGCATGTCCATTATCATCATGGCTTCCTTCCCAAAGGTCATGTGAAGGCAGGATCGCATCCAGCTTGGAGAACTATTCCTGGTCTAGTGAAAGTTATCATTTTTTTTTTTTTTTTCCCCATCATTGGAATACAGCCTGTATGTATTCTTTTGACAGCCTTTACCTCACAAAGAGATCTTATTTCTGCCTGAAGAGTGCTGCCTAACTGGAACTGGTCGGGTATTTTTCAGACAGACAGGTACATAGGTGTGGCCATTGCAGGCTGTCCCTCTGACATGGCAGTCCTGTGCACACTGCATGGCGCTGACAGTGCAGGCCATACCCAGTCTCCAGCATTCACCACACAGAGCTGACTCACAGCAGGCTCTGTGGGAGGCAGTCTCAAATGTGACTTGTCAGGGACACCAGCTGTATGGAACTTTTGTGGAGGCCCCACAGGGCACAGGACACTCCTGAGGTTTATTGATTGAACAGTGAAGGTCTCTTCACATCTTCTTCACTGCAGGCAGATGGCATTGTGTCTTCCTGGATGCTAGCAGAGCACTCTGCAGAAGCAGTTGAGGAAACCAGTTCTGTTAAGAAAAATGACATGGGAAAAGCTTAGGCTAAATAAAGATGCAAGAAACAGAAGAAAAGGAGATTGGAACAAATGGTAAATGTACAAAACCTCCAAAATCAGATCTAGATACTGAACTGAGCAGATAAAGGGAATGAACAACATGGGCCATGTTCACAAGCACTGAGAGCAGTAAGCATCCAAGTAAGTTTGTTGTCCACTCTCCCCTTTATTAATTGTCTTTTCTTCAGCCTAAATATGAAGAAAAGGTATATTCCCTATTTTACACCATAGAATTACACTGCAGAGAAAAAACAAGCATGACAGTGCTGGGCTGGGGAGAAAACTCCTGAAACCTTTACTGAGGGAAGCGAGTCCTCAAGGAGTTGAGAGTGCACTTAATGGGTAATGCTAAATCAGTCTAAAGGTTTGTGCCTCCAAAGGGCTTTTCCCTTGCTGTATTCCTTTGCTTCTGCACTGAGCAGGGAATTACACTAGTGGGAAGGGTCTCTGCATTTGAAGATCTTTGTGTCTTCAGAAGTCTTTTTTAGCCCCAAGAATAGGAAATTGGAGTTTGAGGCTGGGGAAGTGGGACCCCTGCTTTAGGTGGTGGTCTGCTACTGGAAGAGCCAAGCCTGCTGTGCAGAACTGAACTCTCTCTTCAGCATCACTAAAATTCTCAGAGCAGGTTCCCACAGGAGCTGTGGGGGTGTAGGCACCCCCAGGTGCCCGGTGCTCTGAGGTTTAGGTTTACTCCTGCAGGGTTGGATGTTTGTCTTTTAAGCTGAGACTTGAAGCAGGTCATCTAAGTTGGGGAGAAGAGGAGCTCCAGAAGAAACAGGAGAACAAGGAGTTTAATATGGTAATAGGAGCATTTTTTTTCTAATGTTGAAGTCCTATTGTGGGTTTCACATGTGTGTTTACACATGGCTAATTTCTAACACTGTTTTCTTTGCTTGTGAGATAGATAGCCCCAATGCTGTCGTACAGGCAGATAAAATAATTTATAGAGAATGTGTGTGCATGTTGCATTCAAAAAACAACCTATGGACTTAGTGGTATATAAAGTGTTAACTGAATGCTTGTATAAAATTGGTATCTGGTGTCATCAGCAAGACAAGATTATAGACAGTGATGAGACAGTGATGTTACTAATGCTATTGACATGCAAGAAGAAGCAGCAGGAATTCTTCCCTTCCGTGTCATCAAAGTCTAAGCACACGGTTAAAGCCAGAGAAGAGTGTGTCTGACAGGCAAGAGCACAAGAAAAATGCTGATTTTCTGTAATATTTTTATGTTGCATTTTTCCCATTTATTTTCCTACAAAGAAGTTGGTTTGTTTAGCCATGAGGCTGAAATTGGCTGTAATTTCCCAGGACAGCAAATTTTGTGTGTGTGGTACAAGCAATAGCATTTTCCAAAAAATATCCTTTCCTATCAAGCTTGTGAGTACAAGAAGTCAGAGATGCTAATTTCCGGGATGTATAGGGATAGGGTAAGTGGACTCAGTATTCAAAATTCAGTTAAATATGGCATCACCTTGCAACCCTTATGAGAAAACCCCAGCATCTTGTACATATAAGTAGAGGCAGCTCTACTATCAGAAGAGATTCCTCAAGTGCAGGCAGAGAGTAGGACTCAGCCTGAGCTCTGGGTATCTTTTAAATGAGCCCTTGTTTCTGAGTGTGTAACACTCCTCCTCCCCCCAGGATGTCTTCTGCTTTAAGGGCTTTGCTGCCTAGCAGTGAAGGAGGAGGGAGTAGCATTGCTGAGGACAGGAGGTTAAGGAGTAACCTGATTGGGGAAGAAGCCAAACTAAACAAAGGTTTAGAAATATCGCTGAAAATAGTATAACTTACCATTTCCCTCTGCCAGTGGCTGACACACCACATTTTTTGTTCTTTAAAACCACAGTGAACCATTCCCAAAAAAGGAAGTGTAACCTCTGTTTTCTACACTTCTGTCCTTCCCCTCATCTGGGGAAAACCTTTCCTTGCTGTATTTCTCATGACACATTTGACTGGAGGGTTTCTTCACAGAGTTTCTGCTGGGGGCTGTTTGTTTTATCTTGAGTTTTGCAGCAGATAACAGACCTGTATGCTGCATAGATTAGAGTTGGCAAATTTTGACACTGACTTCTTTAGGCACAGATAAAATGCCTTAGTCTCCCACTCATATCTATACTTAAAGCAAAATTTTTAAATGTCTGTTAATGGGAGCCCCGAGTCATCTCTGTGTTTGCTTCTCAGCTGGCCACGTGTGCTCATTAATGAGACTCCCAAATATTAAAAGTGGAATTTGGAGCAGAGCAGAGGCCAGCCTAATAAATCTGCTGTTAGTTCAGGCTCTGTGGTGATGTGGCTGCACCCGGGGGGAGGAAGGGCAGAAGCTGGGCGTTGGGCCCAAGGGACAGAAAAGGAAGTCAGCCGTGGGCAGGCAGAGAGGTAGAATCTCTGTTGCTGAGGGCTGGAGGCAAAAAGCAGCTTCTGAAGGAGTGCTGGGGGCAGGAGAGTGTGCAAAAAACAGGCTGTAGCAATTTCATTTCAGGTGTCTGTGCTGCAATGAGAGGATGAGTGATTTTGGCATAAATAGTTTTGTAGACCTAAGAGTAGAAACTGAGAATATCTTCATATATAGAAACATGTAAAAGTATAAAAGATTAATGCCTTAATTTGGAAGCCTCTTCTGGAAAGACAAAGCAATCAATTTTTCTCCTTCTAGTACAGCCCAGATTTTATGCTGACCAAGCTCTGACTTGAAAGCTGACCCTTCTCTGAGCAGGGGACTGGGTCTGCTGACCCAGGGAGGTGCCCCCCAAACCTGAATATTCTGTAATTCAGTGATTCTGAGAATTGAAGGTGAAATCTCTGCTCCATTACCCCTGATACCAGCAAAGCCAGAATCTTACCCTAAAAGAGTGTTGATTGTAGTAAGTCACGACCAACAAAGGAAAAGCAATTTAGATGTGAAAGGCTCTATATGTTCCAGGTTTGAATTTGATGGATGTCAGCTACAGTAGCTTGCTTGCCATGTTGGAGCCACTGACTCCTGTGAAACAGACAGGTAAAACCCCCTGCCCACTGAACGAAGGTCATTACCAAGCAGCACTCATTTAGAAATTGGTTGCTAACTCAGCAGCAGAGGCAAAGATTTGAGCTGTCATAGTGGCCTCACTACTTGCTCATGTTTCTCTCTCGCATGTGCAAGCACCAAGAATGTTTTAAAGAGTGGGATCACTGCTGTTAGGAGTTCCATGTGCCTCCAGGCCAGGCAGGGCACAGGCTGGAGCTGTGTCTGTTTGGCACATGAAGAGGGAGGTTTGCTTTCAAGAACTGTAAGTCTGGTGCTGTTGTGAGTATCAAGTCCATACAAGTGTGAGAGAAGAAAGCTGTTGGAAGAGAGTAGTTGTTCTCCAGAAGAGCCACTGGCTTGGACTGGAAAACCCTATCAAAGACAGAACATACAAAGCTGTAGATGATTAAAGCTATGAAGCAGCTCTAAACCTATGATGAATTAGACACTTGGTGGATGCCAGAATCTCTGCGAAGTTACTTGCAAATGCTAAATTTCACTATTAGTCTCTCACAAAGTGACTGTGTTTTTTTATTGTGCCTTCTTCAAAGATGATTATGAGCTGTAGCTGTGCAGACAAAAATGTTTCCCTGAAGTTATTTAATTCCAATTATTTCTCCTCAATCACATTCAGAAGAGCCTTTGTAGAGGGAGGACTATCAAAACTCTGGAAAACAGATCTGAACAGCTGAACCTCATCACTTTGTGAAAGATTAGAAAGGGATCAACCCTCAGACTTTTGACTGAAGCAGGCAAAGTAAATATATAGTAGAATCTTCAGGGGTTATGATGAAATTGAAAGTAGCAAACAAGTAAGGCCATCAAATACATTCAAATCACAGGCTGCAGAGGATATTTGCCTTTTCTATGATTGATTCTATTAAGCCAGACCATCGTCTTTTTAGGGCAAAAAAGGTGCTTTATTTCATCAGTAGTCCTGACATCAGTGGGATTATTCGTGTAAGAAATTATTCTTTAATGTGAGAGAAAGTATTACAATCTAGTCCTATGTTTGGATATTACATCCCCATTTTTATTTCTTGTCCATTTAGATTTGGAGCTCCCTGGGAAGGAATGACTCAGGAAAGAAGTACAATTGGTTGTGATTCCCCCACAATCACAATATCACTTATACTAAAGAGCTTAAGTGTCAAAAGAAAATATCTTTACCCCTATAAGAATATCAAATTTTATGTAATTTCCTTTGAATTTAGACAAAATGCCTACCTTCTCATGGAATATTTTATTCATGCCTGAAGTGTTACTTCCCATTTGGCCAACTCTACTCTAAAGAGGCTTTCTGAGCACAAAATCAGACAGGGAGCAGCACAACATTGTTTTTTTCCAGTAAAGTTGTAGTCTGTAATAAATATCTGGGGTTTGAGTACGTCTTTGTGTTGTTGTATACCTGCCACTTTACAGTGTGGTTTTATAACTCAACAAAACTTCCTGAAGTATTTATTTCCCATTGCTTTTGATATTCCTGCTACATTCCTTCTAAAGGAGAGATTACTGCTTTTGGTGAGGACTATGAATTTCTTCATAGAATTCATGTGGGTTGTTTCATCTAATCCAACCCCCTGCAATGAGCAGGGACATCTTCAGCTAGGTCAGGCTGCTCAGAGTCCTGTCCAACCTGTCTTTGAACATTTCCAGGCATGGGGCATCCACAGCTTCTCTGGGAAATCTCTTCCAATGTTTTACACCTGTTCATATATTTTTTTTTTTAACCTATATGTACTCTAAATCTGCCTTCTTATACTTTAAAAACATTAATCTTTGACCTAGTGTAACTGACTCCACAAAAACATTTGTCCTGATCTTCCTTTGAAGTCCACTTTAACTATTGAAAGGCCACAAAAATGTCTCTCCAGAACCTTCTCTTTTCCAAGCTGAATCAGCCCTTTCAGTGTTTACTCTTAACAGTGGTGCTCCAACCATCTG